GCCATATTATTTGCGAACCTGTGGGTATGGGCCATACCTGTTTCGCAACTTAGCTGGCGAAATAGTAAAAAAGTTTCGCCATTCATACTGCGTAATTATACAAATTTCAACACGTGTTAATGCCCACAAGTTTCGCCAATCTTCTGGCGAAAATATTTTTTAATTTCGCCATCACCTTTGCGAAATTAATCAGAATGAGACACGTGGCGTTGTGGCCTATTTTCACTCTTCTTTTGGTGAAACTTGATCACATTTCGCCACCCACTTTTGCGAAACCCTTTGCCACGTTGGCAAAGTCACCCCAAATAGGAAAATAGTTTCAAACTTAATATATTTTAATAAATAGTTTTTAAATTTACAATATTAAAATAAAAAAGCCACAAATATTACTTATTTTACAAAATTACATTTACCTCTTTAATTTTTCGAACAAAAAGCTGCAAAAACATACTTTGGCGACGTTAACGGAGGAAACTTACGTGGAGAGGAAGAAGAACAAGGTTTGGAATGGCCGAGGAAAAGAGGAAGAAGAGGATTAACTGTACCCGTTACTATCGATTAAACAGACACGATACTACTAATGCATGGTCGCATGGACATAGTGTGTATCAACTTTTTTTTGTGTAATACTTTAAATTTTGTTATTATTTTTTATTAATTTTTCAATAGTCGCGTGTCATTTTCTACACCTATATCGACCATCTTAATCTGATAGTAAATTAAAATATTAATAAAAAAATATTATCAGATATGGAGGACTATACACTTGTTAATCTGACAAAAAAATAATACTAAATAAAAAAATTGTTGCACAAATGCCCTATTTTTTAAAATAGTTTTAAAAAGAGTATTATTTAAATAAAAAAGCTGATTTAATAGTTAAAAAATTTTGAAAGTCAAATTTGTTTTTAACAAAACTTTTGACTCTCATTTCGTGCAAACCTAGTCAAGTTCTTACTCTTCTTCCAGCTTTGAGTTACCTCCATGTCATGCATGTACTTATTGCTATGTTGTACTTTGATCTCATTCTATAGTCACATCATGAGGTTGCATTTTTGCAACAAAAAGTCATTACACCTTGACCATCACTATATTTCATCATCTCTCCATGAATAAGAAATTTATTTTTCTTCTCAAAGCCTATTTCACTTGAAAACATCTTTATCTTTCTTGAACCTCATTTTTTTTATTCAAAATGCATTCCTAATTGGAGATTACGAAAATAAAAGTTTTCGTTTTTTATTTTCTCTAATCATTAACATGTTAACTCTATTGTCTTTCAAAAAACAAAAAAACAAAAAAACATGAATGTGTCATTAGTTTCAATAGCCGAAAGTATTGGAAAATGGGTCAACATTATCCATGAAAATATTGTGCAACATGGAAAGAGAACGTTGCGGACTATACACCACATTTGCATATGGAGTTTGAATTTGAGATAGCAACCTATAAATTTTATAATGAATATAGTCAAAGAATTGGAATTGTTATTAATCAAGAATATAGAAATCAAAGCAAAAAATATATAATTCTAACTTCAAGAAGATTCTCAAGCTTCCAAAAAAGTAAAGGAGTTGTTGATAAATGAAATCATTTGATGAGCTTAGAGCAGAAACCAAAGCAAGATGTGAAGTCATATGGTTATTGCACTTGATCGGAAAGATTGGGAAATACAAGGTCATTAAACTTGACATAAAAGCCCATATTCTAAAGCAATAGAAAAGAGATGCAACGTTGAGATGAATGTCAAGCAAATTCCTAGACACTGTATTCTAAAGTGAAGGACAAGAGATGTAAGGTTGGAAAGTAATTGAGATTGAAAAGGATAACATATTGAATTTGACACAAAAGCTCATTTCATGATGATATGTTGGATAAAAGGTTTATAGATGGAGAATCATATGGAATGTGTTATGTATCCATATCAATTGCAATGGAAAATTTGAAATTTTGATAACAATGTGAATGTTGTTGATTTTGATGGTGCAAAAGATATAAAGAAGTGAGATTACTCATACAAGGGTAAGAACACCCTAAATCTTGGGTTGAAAAATTAGCTAGAAAGAGGAAAACAAAAAAAAACAAAAAAAAACCTATTCTAGAATAAGAGAAAAGCTCAAGGAAAAAAATATAATTTATTCCTTACTTTCTTTTTTCAATGATTTATCAATTACACGTGTTTCTTGTACTGTGAACTTACGGGAACAATACATGGCAAAAAGTGATTTTATACACTTTTAATATTATTCATAATTTTACTCAATTCTTAATAGTGACCAACTTTCTCATTTGTGTATAGGACAATTTTTATCCTATTTTTTATTAAAAAAATTATTTAAATTTTCTAATAATATGCAGCAACCACAAGACTATAATTAATTCATTTTTTTTCCTATCTTCAAAGCATTTAATTTTAAAAGAAAACCAAAGTGAGAATGGAAGTGAAGTTTTGAATCCAAATTACACAACTAAGCTAAGATAAAAATCCAAGCTTATTGAAATTGTACATTTTAATGGTAGAGTTTTCGGGAGTATACGATGAAAACTAACAATGAACAAAAATGAAGAAAGAATAAAATAAAGGAATAAATCTTTTTAAAAAGTTTGAAAGTCTTATAATAAAATAAAAATAAATAAAGTAAAAAAAGTTCTAAATTAAATGATGATGACTATGTTCAAGATATTTGAAAAAGTAGAAGAAAACAACTTAAGACTGATTTCTTGCATTTTTTTAATTGAAGATTAGGGTCAAATTGAATTTTCTTTTTCAACCCTTATTTTAATTTGTATTTGAGTCATAATAATAATTTTTCTCGTAGGTTAGTGAGCTAGATCACATTAGTTATTAGATCTTTCTACAAGATTTTATAGATAATTATATTTAGTAGACTTAATTATATTATTTATTAAAATCTTAGAAGATGTTTAGTTAAATTGTCATTATTAGGTTGTCATATTAGATACCAAACCATTTTGAGTTTCACTTTTTATTATAACTATTTATAAATTTCTTTACGAAACAACTTTAATTTGAATAAGAATTAAAAATTTATCTTTTTGAGGGAGCTTGAGTGTTTCTTAAGATTTTTAGAAAAAATTATTACTTATCAAAGATTCCTTTCACTATTTTAACTAATTTACACTAAATTTATTATTCTTTATTCTACATTAAATTGAGTTTATAATATTTTTTTTCATTTTTTTCTTATTTGTTTGCATTTAAAATCTTTTGTTCAAATTATCTCACCATCATAACTTGTCTTATAACTCATGTCTTATGAACCATTTTTTAGTATTTCTTGTAACTAATCAATTTAACTCAAAGAAATATCATATTAATCCACTTTTAGTATACATATATACTTGTTTAATTTTTTATACAATGCAAGTGTAGGTTTATTGGACACTTTTTCTAAGAATAGATACTACTAACATAATAAACCAATTTTATGTTTGTTCGGTTTCACTTTTTACATGAAGCATTATTAAATAATGAAAGAAGTACTTTTTACTTGATCACCCTAGCTCCTAGACTATTTTGAGTTTTTTGTTTGTTGTTATTCAAACTTATTTCAAATTTAATGAAACATAGGAAGTAAAATTTCAAAAAAGCTTGTACTATGATCAATTGCACAAAACAAACTTCCTTTTAATTTAATATTTTGATCAATTTACAATAGTAGCAAAAGATCACTTGATTTCAATTCAAAACAAGACTTGAATCTCATTCAATATCATTATAATTCAATACAAGAGACTAGATTTTCAATTTGATACAAACAGGTGGTTAGTATTTTCAGTACAAGAATAATTTTCAATTAGTAAAACGTCGTTACAACAAAGGATAAATTTACAACAACACTTTTGACTAATTCACAACAAATAAATCTTCATTGGAGGCAGATGGACTTTTCATCTTAGTCAGATGCACATTTGGAGCAACTAAAGATGATTTTTTTTTTCAATTAGATTTCTTGCTAGTTAATAAAGCAAAAGATAATCTTTATTTATTACTGTTTCTAGTGGCTTCATTGTAATAATATTTAAATATTATAGTTTCAAGTTCACAACAAATACTGAGGATTTAGTAAACTTCTTCCCTATCTCTACAAACAAACACTAAGAAAAATGGTGAAATATATGATCTTCATTGAATTAAATAGTCCCTCCAATCAAAAGTAACTAATGTTTGTTAGAAGAACATATATGTTAGTACGATAAAGAATTGTTGAATATGAATTTAACACAAATGACTCTAGTCCTAACCAAAATAATGCATCAAAAAACTAATATAGGAAATGCATGGCATATATATTTCCTTTTTCTTCCACCTAAAAACTAATATAGGAAATGCATGGCATGTATACTTCCTTTTTCTTCCACCTAACACACCATTACACCTTAATTTTATCAATTATATAATTCATAGTAGATTACCCCAACAAAAACACAAGTTTGAGTATTGTGAAGTGTTAAGATGTTCCATATTGATTAGGAATAGAGCCAGAATACTCCTTATAAAGGCTAAGACAATTCTCCTCTTATGAGATAGCTTTTACAAATGAGTTAGGTATAAGTTTTTTAACATGGTATTAGAGCTGAATGTTGGGTATTTAAGTTTGAATGTTGGGCTAGTACTCCTTAAAGGGTTAGGATAGTCCTTTGCAGTCTTCCTCTAGCTTACCAAAGGTAATTCATGTACAATCTAGCTGTAAAATGAATGTATGAGTTAACTATTTTTAATTTTAAATTAAATAAAATCAAATTTCATCTTTATATATAGCTTTTGCATTTGGTAGTTTCCAACTTTCCAAATGAAGCACACAATGTGTACCCAACACAGATACAACTTTTGAAGGCGAAAATTCACACTCCATATATCACAATTAGAATCAATTAACTCTGAACGGGTCAAAACACAATGCAAAGAAACAATCCGAACAACAAAGAAGAAATTACCATTACACTTACTAAAACACTTGAGAACAATAATAACTATGTAGTTATGTTCAAGATACAACTTTTATATATCTTATATTTTTGGCACTAGAACATATTACTACTCGATCAAATTGAGATCAAGGATTGAAACTAGCACCATTTGAAGTAAAACGACAAAGGGTAACTAGCCCTATAAATTACAAGTCATGGTTTCCTTACAAGTAAGGGAAGGAGGAGGGTACACACAAACAACCTCTCATCCTAAACCCATCTATAAAGTTCCTCAGAGGATGCCAAAGATAATGGAACAAGCAACACAAGAAACTATCTACAAACGATTTATATTTATAAAAGAGAAAAGAAAAGAAAAGAAAAAAAAGAGCTTTTTCTTGCAAATTGCTAGTAGTTTACTCAATCAAAGCTTGAAGAGCGGCTCCACCTGCCTCTCAAGTAGTCCTCCAACGACACATTTTGTTCAACACTACACATAGAGAGCGAGTCATCCTCCACATCAAGCAGTGCAAGGTTAAGATGTGACTGAAGATTGGAAGGTGGCCAAGCTTCATCATCAAGCATTTCTGGTACTTCCAAAGCACTCACTTCTAGTCTTGCCCACTTGATTACATCAGCATCACCTCCAAGGAGCTTAGAGATCTGTGGTCCAATTGAACAAATACCAAATTAACAAAATAATAATTAAATGATGTTCAAATTAGAAGATGAAGTCAAGAAGGATGTTATTCGAACTCAAGTACCACTTGTCTATAATAAAAAGCTAGCTCCCCAAATGGGGCAAAACGATTTTTTTCTTGTCATTTCCAATTCTATATGGCATGTGGAGGACTTTATTTGCTATGTAGCCAATTATCATTTATAAATCACTTACAAGGCTCATTTGAGGCCTAGCTCTTGGAGCACGTCTGAGACAAAGTGTGGCTGCTAAGACCATTCTTTCCATCTCTTCATGATCATAACTATTACCCAAACTAGGATCCAACAATTGTGACACCTTTCCACTATTTATAATTGGACTAGCCTGAAAAATATACTTGCCCATTATTTTTCCTCTTATACATATGAACATACAAGAAGTAACAGAATAGCTGCCAGAGACATACCCACATGACAAGGCTTTCTTGACCTTTGGGATAATCACCACTTATGGGCTTTCTCCCTGAAAGAAGCTCAAGAAGCACAACACCAAATGCATAGACATCAATCTTATCATTTACTTTACCATACATGAAGTACTCAGGAGCCATGTAACTGCATAAAGGAGTGTAATACATAAATTAGAACCATTTCAAATACATTTTCTCTCTGCATCATGTATGCACATAAGAATGCAGGGTCCAAATTATCTGAGGATAAAAAGCACAAACCCAAAGGTTCCAGCAACATCTGTGCAGGTTATATGTGATGAACTAGATGCCCATTTAGCAAGTCCAAAGTCAGAGAGCTGTGGAAAAAATCAACAGAACAGCGTGAGGCCTGCGCAAGACAAATACAAAAAAATTCAAAATATGGAAGACAACCAACAAGAATATAAATTACCTGGGGTTCGAAATCCTCAGATAATAAAACATTTGATGATTTTACATCGCGATGGATCACAGATTGCCCTTCAATGTTGTGTAGATACTCCAAAGCCTCAGCAACACCCATTGCCACCTTATATCTCTCAGCCCAACCAAACACAAGTGGATTTTTCTTACCTATTTTAGCATGAAATAAAAAGAAGTAATTAGTAAGTTAACAAGACCACGTAGAGTGGAATAAACCCACTTAGAACATTAGTTAAGGAATTAATAAATAAAAAGCTTTTCTGAAAATTACAAGGGGGTGCATCGAAAAGCACGACAAGAGTGCATTAATAATATTTTTTAATAAAAACTTCTAAGTTTTAACCTTTAATTTCTTAACGAGTGCCCTTGAGACAGAGGTCAACATTTGTCAAAAAATAAAGGCAATATAAGAAAGAAGATGTGTGCATCATAATAAAATGTTGTGTACCATGAAGGTTCTCTTCAAGGCTTCCTCTTGATAAAAAATCATAGACCAAAAGAAGATTTCCATCCTCAAAGCAGAACCCAAGGAGTGAAATTATGTTTTTGTGATGCAAGGTGGTGATAATTTCTATTTCTAGAACAAACTCTTTCAGAACATCATCAGAAGGCTTTAAGATCTTAACAGCAAGTTCCTTGCCATCAGGAAGGCAGCCTCTAAAAACCTGACTACTTCCTCCTTTCCCAATCAGATTTTCTGAAATCATACAAAAACCATGTTAAAATTAAACCTTTTTTTGGACTAATTGAACTCAGAGTCAAACAAGCACTGGATATAACACACACCAGGCAAGAAATTTGATGTTGCTGATACAAGTTCTTGGTACTTGAACAATCTGCAAGTCGACGAGTACTTCTCGTGGAAGCCGTCCAATTCCTTAGGAACTTTTCTTGAACTATGTTCAGGCGAAGAATCAGCCCCTATTTCAGCATCCACTGGAACTAGAGCACCACTCTTGCTATCTAGAGCCAAAAATTGATCTTTATCTCGGTCACAATTGTTTGTTTTAAGGCCATGGTTTGCAGCATATGAAAGATTCCTAGAGGGAAACTGCATTACCCATTGTACCACAGAGATCTGGCGCAACAATGATCTTTCAGAACATTGCCTATCAGATAAAATTGCTCTATGTAGCAATGGCCAACCTGGTTTTAATTCAGTTACTTCTCTACCATGCAAAGTGGTCATTCTAGATGCAGCATCATTGGTCTTCACAGGCACTAAAGCCAAAGAGTTCTCATTACAACCATCACCACAAGACTCTTCTGCCAAATGGTTACAAGGTGAATCAAACAATGCTGGGGTTGAAGCACAAATAGAACACCTCTTCTTCCCAATAAATTCCTTAGAATCCATAAAAGCCTTAGCTAAGCTGTGATCTGAATATTGGCCACTACCCTTATCATGTAACCCTGTACCATCATCATCTAGCACTTTTGAACTCTTGCTGAGTTTCCATTGAATCGAACCTAGCAACCCATTTCTGTGATCCCCATCAAGTCCTGCAACAACTCATTAACTTAGAACTCTAGCACTAATTCAATATGATTTATTCATATCTCAACACACAAAAGGAAAATTAATTCAAATCAAACCTTTCAAGTCAGAACGAGTTGCTGGTGAGCCATCTCTCTTGAACACAACTTTCCCATTATTAACAGCAAGAACCCAACAATCCTTGGATAGCTTCTTAGCACAGTACCTTGCTACAGATATACATGGCCGAATTTTATGAAGACCTTGAGGAGTTCCAACTATGATGTGAGATGCAGAATAAGTAACGGCTTCTCGAACCAGAATTTTCCTCACTGATGAACCACGGCATATTTTGAGCTTAAGATCCACCTGAACCACCATTTTCACACACACAAAATCTTAGATTTGACATATTCAAAGCATTAAATTGATTATGCTAAAACATAATTTGTAAATTGAGTTACGGTTTTAAATTATTATGTGCTGCACATTTTGAAGAATATAATTAAGCAAGAGTGAGTGAGAGATGTTGAGAAATGAGAAACTCAACCTGCTTCAAATTGCAGAATCCTTCATAAACAGCTAGCACAGAGTCAAATGCTTTCACAAGCGAAAACAGAGAGGATTTCCCATCTCGATTCACAATTTCTACACCAACCCATTTCTCCAAAAATTTAAAAACTCAAACTGAAACTAAAAAAGAAAAAACAAAAAGAAAAAAGAAAAGATGATTTCATGGCTTATATAATATACCATCATTTCCAAGAACATGAAGAGCAAACACGACATCACCAGGCTGAGCCACTTTAAACAAAGCCCAAGTGAGCAACTCGGTGCTGTTAGAGTCCATCTTCACACCCACCACCACCGTCCGGCCATCGGCTCCGCCGTATCTGGCTTCTCCGGCGGTGGCGGGTTGCAGCATTTTCATGTTGTGTGTCACTCTCAGCGTTGGCCTTTTGTTGTCGGTGATTGAAGTTGGCGAGTTCTATCTATAGGCTCATGAGTCATGACAGAAAAGCATCAACAATTTAGTTCCGAGGCTATGGAAAAATGAAAACGGTGTTAACCGGTTTGTTTGGTTTTGGAGCTCTCGTACGTACGCACCGAAATGGAAAAAGCAAGGACACGAAATTTGAGAGTGCAACTATGCAACCATAACTTTGATGATGATTGTGGTCTGTTAATCTAACGATACTTGAAATGTATGTGCGTATATTAAGCATAGATAGGTACTTGCCACCAAGTTTTAACGCCCATGATTTTGACCACTGGGTCACCTCTGTAAAAGCTCTTTTCCATTAAAAAAATGTGAAAATCTTGTCTTGGGAAGGGAATCCACGGCGATACCCATTTTAGTCAACATGATGCTGTAAAAGATTATTTTTAGATTTAGAGAAAAAAACATGTCTATTGTTATTTTTAAAATTATAAAAATGTTTTTAGTTCTTAAACTAATTAAATATTTATTATTTTATATCTTAGTATAATTAAGCAAAGTTTATTCTTCTTAAAATTATGATAGTAAAGTTTGATAATTTTAAAATTAAAAATATGTTCATGATTTTAAAATTGAATTCATTGATATTTATAATTAAATAATTAATTCAGTACATCATTGATGAATAAATTATTTGAACGCCCGAGATTTTGACCACTGGGGCCCTCCTGCAAAAGACAAAAAATTGAAAATATCTGTTTTAAATTTTGGAATCTACAAGTTGATAATTTTAAATGTCAAAAATATTTTATAATTTTAGATAATAAATTAATCAATATTTATATTTTAATTATTAATTTAATATATTTGTGGTAAATAAATGACATGGAAAGAGAGGGATGATTGGGTAAAGCAATAAACAATTTTGTTACAAATGACTTCTTATAATGAAAGATTTTTTAATCAATAAAAGTATAAGCACAAGTGAAAAATAGTTTTAAAGAGAAAATTTTTCGATGTATCTCAGAAAAGAAATTCATACTTTTCAACGTGTTCCTTCGCTAATTGCGTGTGTATGACACATTAAAAAGCATAAACCTTTCGTTAGTCAAATTGGAATTACTTTTACTAAGTTTTCCTTGTCTTGTCAATAACATCATTCTTTAATTTGCTGTGTTTTCATTCTTTTATGTTAACATCTTTGATCAATCTATATCACGTATGCTTTCAATAGATAGACATGGTGGGTTTGTTTTCTTATAAGTTCTGAGCTGGTAAAGCACGAAAACTAGAAAGAACATTTCATATAATTTTACCTTCTCTTTATTTGATTATAACACCACTACAAGAACTATTTTCATTTTTTAATAAATTAACTGATGATGTACTTTTCAAAAAGGAAAAAAGATGCCATTTAGGTAAACATGTTATTGTTATTTCAAGAGACGTGAACATAATGGCTACTTATTATTATTATTATTATTTCTTTTCTTTTATTTATATATAATTAAAGACTTAATAATAGTAAATTTTATTTAAAAAATTATGATATTTTTATTTTTATTTTTTGTTTAAACAATAGATATTTTCTGTCCAGAAATAATTTGTTCGGGTAATGTAAGACTACTATTATATTTTTATTTTAAAAAAAATTTTGATATTTCAATGTTTAAACTTAATCTTGACAATTAAAGCTAATAAATTAGCATGTGCGATTATAGTGACAGTAGTCGATTACTGCCGATCACAGAAACAATACAAAAAACATGAAAAATCTGGCACATCCAGGAATATGCATGTATCATGCGAAGGACACGAATGTTTTTGTTATTATATACAACTCTTGTTTATAATTTTAATTCTGTTCAGAATATAAAGGAATGTAATTGTAAGAAAATTGGCTTCTTAGAACCGTTAGGTATATAAAAATTGAAAGTTATTGAACATAATATTATATTTCTATGTTCAGTGAACATAGATTTATACTTTAGATATATTTGTGCATTTTGGATAAAGACGATGAGCTCATGGTTTGCTCTAAAAGTAATGTAATTTTTACGTTGAAGTCTTTTTTCACATTCAATTGATCTGAATCTGCCCCAAGGTACGGATATAACTCCTTTACTTCGTAGTTGCTACTATACATACATGTAAACAAAGAATTTGTCGCGTCTGTGAAATGAAATCCTTTTAAATTTTGAGAATCATATTTCTAGAAACTGTGTTTTTTTAGAAATGTTAAAAATACGTTTTGTATAAGTATTTTGAGCATATTATATATATTTTTAAAAATATATTAATATATATTGTGTTTAGTTTAAATGTTATTTGTTAAAAATATTAATATTTCTTTTAAAAATATATTTTTTAAATGTCATTTTACTCTATTTAATAATTGATACATTTTATGTAAAATTAAATAATATAAAAATTATAATATAATAATAATAATAATAATAATATAAGTATTTATAATTACAATTGATCATTGTTACGAAATTTCAATTACAATATCTTCAAATAATCTTTGATTATAGTAGCAAGTTACCAATACAAGTTTTGAATAAATGTTATTAAGATGAGAAAATAGCATAAATTGGGTTAGATCTAATAACATTAAAAACATAGTTATTTTTTTGTGTTATAAAAAAAAATTTCATCTTAACACGGAATAATTTTTTCTTACTCTTAAAAATATTTTATTACTAAACTTTGAAATTAATTTTTAAAATTGTAAACGTAAAAAAAAATTAATCTTTAAAAATTATAAATAAATTTATTACTTATTAATTTTATCAAACATCAAACACTATAATTTAATTAACTAATAGTTTATGTCATAACGATGTTAACTTTTATTATTAAGTAATACATAAAATGCTAAAACGATATTGTTTTTCCACATGTAAGACTATCAAGCCATCATTCTTATTGCGTGGTTCAAATTAATATTGACATCCACTATATGTCGTAAGTGAGTATGGAAGGAGAAAAGAGAGGAGAGAAGAAATAAAAAATGACAATGGATGCTAGTAGTTACGATGGTGGAGGTGATTGAGAGTGGTGGTCAGAGAAAAAAAATTATGTTATTCTAATATTCACATGTTATTTAACGAGAAAAAATAATATCGTTATAATAAAAAATGTTAGTTAAATTCAAATATTTGATATTTGACAAAGTTGAAAACTCAAAATACTTTTTAAAAAATCAGTTTTTTAATAATATATTTTTGAATATTTATACTAAACATAAGAATTCAATATTTTTAACTTAAAATTTTTATCTCTTAAAAAATTGATTTTACAATAATATATAAAAAATATCATAAATAAATATATAAATAAAAATAATGACATGACTTTTTATTTACTTTCGTATACGTTTTATTTTGGCCACCCTTAAACTAAAAGTAAAGGTATATAAAGATCATATGTATAGAGAGATTATGATTTTTCTATTATTTCAAATCTTAATCAACTTAAATATTAAGCAAAATAGACCGTCGCATCATTAAAAAACTAACTATATAATAATACTAATGCTTGTCATATCCAAAATAAATAAACAAATATATCTATTTACATATTATTTTAATAATTTTTTTATATATTATTTTATAAAATTAACATGAAATAAAATATGTACCTATTTATTATTTTAAAAACATGAAACTATTTAATGATTTTTTATTTAAAATCAGAAATATTTATAAAAATATATGACCAAAAAATTAAAATTACTTAATTAATTCATCAATATTAATATTAATATAAAATAATTATACATACATACATATATATATATATATTATTTTTATATTAAATTCTAAAAATATTTATAATATTAAACTGTCAATCTAATAATTTATATATTAAATATATATAAATAATAAATAAATATTTCATTAATATAAATGTAATAAATAAAAATATAAAATATCATTAATATAGTTTAAAAATTATTTTATGATTAAAATAAAACTTAATAATTATATATTATAACTAATAATATAATAAGCATCTAATAATTGCGTTAAAGCTTTTTTAATATATTTATCAAACCAAAAGCTCTTTTAATATATAGTATACAATAAATATATATAAGAAAATATCGTTGGAAGAGAAAAATAAATTTAAAAGTTGGGTAAAGAGAAAGGTGGGGTCCAATTTAGAAAGAGAGGGTAATCATGTGGTGGGCGGGGAGGGGCAAAAGGTTTACTCGTGATGCCCATAATCAATGACCTAACCTTAAAAATTAACAATTCTCTATTCGCCACGTGTTCCTTGTGAGTCATCAAGATGAATCCCAAACAACATCATCCACGTGCTAACTTCTTTTACTTTTACGTAATCCACAGCAGCATCTAAATGCTCACACGTGCGCCCCGAGTTGATAGTCCCTTAAATCTTCAAATATTATTCTCAACATATAATTATTTTAAAAATATAAAAATAAAAAACTAAAGCAATATCATAGTATAGAAGATAAATTAACAGTATTTACTACATTTTTTGAGGACTTTCTCCTTTAATGTTGGAGAAATCATTTTGTCGCATCTCTTTTCTTGTAAAGAGTTCACTTGTGTCTTTAAACTTATAGAATTGTGTTGGAAACAATAATGTAGGGTATTACAAGTTCAAGTAATGTGTCTTTAAACCCTAAAGAGACTATCTCATTTTCCTTAAAGTAGCCATAACCCTAAATTAAGATCAAGTAAATATATTATGAATGGAATTGAAAATAAAAATAAAAATTCTACCATGATTTATTGTCACCAATATTTAATATAAAAAAACTCAGAGAATTTAGTACAAGAAACAGTAAGTTGCTTGATTTACCTTTCTTAAATCATGTAAAATTTTTGTTTGAAATCATATTTTGATGACACCCGGATCACTGCTAGTAAAAAATGATTATAACATTTGAGTTAGTAGATTTGAATCAGAAAAATACATTAATCATGGGAGTATTTTTTTTTATTTTAAAAATAAACTAATACGATGCAGTTTGAACCTGTGATCCTCAAAATTCATCATTATGTTTCCAATTTTTAATAGGGCTTAATTAACTTTAATTTTTTAATTAGTTTGCACTGTGTGTATTTTAATTTTTAATAATTTTTGTTTAAAAATTATACTAATGAAAGAATCTAATTTCAACCTATTAAGTGTATGACTTGCTTTAGCGATATTAATTATTATACACAAACTCTGTACCATTTAAATTCTGTGCACTTCAATGAATTCTTACAAGAGTACAAAAC